AATTATTTTACAGAACCCTGTAATCAAGTAAAAGTCGGAGTAAACGAAACTTCCCACTTGCAAACTTATCGAACAGAACATGAAAATGGATGCTCAGGATGGAACCCTCCTCTCGAGGACAAAATAAGTGAAGAGATTACGGACCGAATGGAAATTATTGCGAATTAGTTCAGGGAACTTTGAGTGAAACGGTTCGGCAGGTGGACTCACAATTCAGCAATTAAGCTCAGCTGCCAACCGACCCTGAGTTCGATTGTGGATTCGTCCTGCCTGGGTTTGGGGTATGGCCGGCATACCACAACAAACCATTTAGAAATTATCGTTCCAATCTCCCTAATCTTCTTCGATAATGCTTCTTCTCCTCCAAATGTTCTTCTTATACAAGGCCTCCTGGGGATATAACTCTGCATCCAACAAACAGTTTTTTGTAGCTTGATGTTCAGGTCCACGACAGACTCACTCCCGCTCAACCCATCGCCTTGTACTTTGGTTTGAATTCGTTCGTGCACGTTTTGTTCGGAGTAATCATAAGGTAGTATGATTTCGCATTAGTGTTTAACAAATCCGATTGCCAGAACAAAGCTCAGAGCCTACTGGATGAGTCATAAGCTTATAAATTATGTCGAGACGATAATATGAAATATCGGGTCATCCAAATAAACAAAAATCTGGCAAAACTCAGAACAAATGGAGCAATCAAACACAAAGACTGGTTCTCAATGAAGTCTGCTGATTCCACCACGGCTCGATTTTACAGCCTGCCGAAAGCATACAAAACAAACGTACCGCTTAGATCCATCGTATCCCTATGTGGCCCTTCCATATATGGTTTAACAAAATGAATGTTTGGTTACCTTACATAACTGGCAGAAGGCTCACCAACAGCGGCAGCTTCTGCCGACCAGTTCCTTGAACCTATAAAATACCGGAAGTTAGGGCCGGATGAAGCTACGATATCCTTTGATGTAGTTTCACTCTTCACCTCCATTCAATGACAACTGGAGACTAAAGTTGTGAGATAACCACTGACTGAACGCTATGAAAAGCGAGACATGCCCCAAAAGTTTGAAAATCTGCTCGAGCTTCTACGACATCGCCTTAAAACCTACTTCAATGTTGCCTATTCGAAGGCTTTTATAAACCGATGTCTACGTGTTCGTCCCCAGAGGACCCCGCCGGAAACCCCACTGATGGTATGATACGCTCCGCCATACGTTAGGACATTTCAGAGGCAATCGAGCGCATTGCTGACGGACTAGGTGTTGGAATTGCCCACAGGTCGAAAGTTATCATGCGCATCAGGACCATGAAAACCAAAGGTTGATTAGATGCCAGTGTGTAGTCAGAGGTACTGCATCGTATCCCGTGCCCAAGCTGTCCTTGTAACTACACAGGTCAGGGCGAACGCATGCTCGGATCGCGTGGCTGTGTGACCCCGTGACTAGTTATCACAAGTGGCTGTCCACATCTTCGTCTGGCGGTTACGAATATAAATTCGTAATCGCCAATATAATCACACACACAGGAAGCAAGACCAGTCCACAATTGATTGCCAGGGCTTCGAATGGAAACTCAGCCGAACGATGTATCGATCTGGTACCGGTATACAGAGCAACGCGTGACTACCTGACGCCTGGTGATTGCCTCCGGTCTGTGTGTAAAAGGGACAGAAGGCCTAACCGCACGGACACCAAATTTTGGCGAACGTTTCCGTATGTCAAAAAGTTTCGGGAGCTGTCGGCGGCCTTCTCGCACCACTTGGGGTTTGAGTTGCACACAGACCGGAGGCAACCATCGGGCGTCAGGTAATAAAACCGAAAGACCCGCTGCCACGGAAAGGAACGTCTGGAGTCGTTTATCGCATCTGGTGCAGTTGCGGACAAAGCAGCTACATCGGAGAAACTGGAAGACTGCGCCAAACGCGCATGGCCGAACATGCTGCAGTGGTGCGGAGAAATGAGGCCAGATCTCAAGTTGCTGTTCATTCGACGAGATCCGACCACACATTCAAATTCGACGAGGCCGAAATTCTTGCAAGAGGTGACAACTGCGTGAGCCGGGAGCTGCTTGAATCGTGGTTTACTGGCCCCCAGTCCATTAACAATTGCAATGACCTTCCCCTTCCATACTCAGTGCTGAGACTTCGCCTAGGCGGAGCGCACAGGTGAACACTGTTCCTAACGCCAGGGTCGGTGAGTCAGATGGTCGAACAATCATCACACCGAAATCCAACGCACGTGATGAAATTGCAACAATTAACGACGCGAATGTCGGCCATCAAACAGTCAGCACACCAAGTGCAACGATCCCTGATGATGGAGGGAGCCGTGAATATTCATAAGTATGAGGTAGCATAGCGACTGCATCCTATAAATACTGCAGCCCCTTGTGCATGAACCAGCCGTATCTGCTTTTGTCTCTGATGATGGGTTCGGACAGGAATCCGAAACTTCAGGCTAATAAAGCTCTTGTCCCACCGACGGTATCTCCTTTTTCAATCATTATTCTGCACCCCCTACATGTAATTCTTTAGTAAAAGGCAAAAGATCTGTCCGCAGTTGAGGAGATGCAAGAGGTATCTTCCCATGCATATTAACGCCTCCCACATCGCCGTCACGTCCGGAGAACATTCCGACACGACCTACTCCTTTGCCTATGCGATTTAAAGTGTAGTCCTCCATAACACATCACAGCCAGAGCGATTAAAATTGCTTTATGTAAAAACAGTCACTTACACGGTGTGTAAATCAGCTCTGCCGGAAATGGGACCTCGTTCGCGTAGTTTCTTTTTAAGGCGGCTCCAACACGCCTCCATGAGGCCCAACCCGTATAACCTCTATTACCACCATTTCCGTAAGACACGCTCGACCGGTTACCTTTTTCTGACCCCGCAGTCGTATACCTTATCCTTGCCGATTCAGAGGAGTAAACAAACAGTTCCGAAGCTTGACCAGTCTTCTTCTTCTTCTTCTTATTATTATTATTATTACTATTATTGTTCTTCCTCTTTGCTAATACATACACCTGGAATTCGAGTCTTCGTCTCCATTCGTGAACATATTCAAGGCACGCCTACGGGCTCTCCCTATCAGGCCTTTTATTGATGTGGTCACCCAACGGAAAGAACGCTTTGTGTTCGACGAGTATCAACTGGAGTTCTGGGCTCTTTATGTCAAAGACACTTTAGTCATTGTCAAAACAACTCACAAGGAGCACCTTAAAGAGTTTATGAACTCGATTGACCCGAATGTCCAGTTCAGGGTGGAAGCCGGAAAGAACAACAAACTCTCCTTCCGCGATGCCTTTGTGTGTCGGTGCTCAACGGTAGACTGCAGTATTCAGAAAAGCCACCGACGCAAGCTAAATACCACATCTCAACAGCAGTCACCCTCTATCTCACTGATGTAACAGTGTCCGTACTCTGTTCTGAAGGGTAAAAGCATACTGCGGAACGCCCGCCGGCATGCGAGCTGAACGACTATACCTTCATAACCTCTTCCGAGCCAGTGGACGCTCAAACCATTTATCAAGCAAGACAAGGGCGAGAGAACAGACGACAGCTAAAAGAGCAACAACCTGGAGTCTGTAGAGCCATGCCCTATGTTAAAGGAGTCTCCGTAGCGGTCTGCTTATTGTCGCAACCCGTCAGAGTAGGCATAAGCCATCGAATCCAGGCAACATTTCGTGACCGTTTGGTGCACCCTATCACCCACTGAAAACCCGTAATTTGTCTACCAAATAGGTTGCAATGATTGGGGCCTCAACCACGTCTGGCAAACCGGACGGCAATGGCAGACTCGCCTATATGAGCGAAACCTGGCAACGTAGAGGCTAGGCCAAAGTTCACAGCCTGCAAATCATATCGGAGAAACCGGGCACACGTTTGACATTCAAGGAGCAATCAGCTTAGCCCGGGGCACCTCAAGGACCGGACGACTCACTTCAGACGTGGCATTCAGTTAATGACTACACCAACAGTCGCTTAGACTTTTCTGCGAATTCTAATGTCCAGAGTCAGAACACTCATAACGGCTAGGACAAGACGACCACCGCATTTGAGAAAACCTAAGAGACACCGCCCGGCGACGAACTCACCCGAAGAGCAAGCAGAGATTTAACCACCTCCTAATGAGGCGATGACTGGTAACGGAAGCGGACGTCAAGCGCACTGAACATTTACTAAAAGGCCGAATGCGAAGCGGTGGGTGTAGGTTGGTACTCCAGGCACTGACTTGCCAGTCTCCGCGCGATGGGTTCACAAGTGATCGACCACACCGAAGTGTGAGGTGAAGGTGCGGTCGCAATGAGGAATAGTATGGATAGAGTCCACATAGCTGGCATTGGTGATGGGGAGCCGTCGTTGTGGACGTTGAGATAATGGAGGAGGAGGGGTTCGGAGTAAATGGAAGAAGAGGAGAGCAGTGGGGTTCGGGAGTGCGGTCAATGTTAGTTGTCGGCGTAAAGGTTGAGGCAGGGCTGAACGACGAGACAGCAGATGGTGTAGTCCGGGTGCTGCAGTTGGTACAGAGATGTCTTACAAGGCTGAAACGTCCGCTTGCAGTGTGGGCAGGTCGGGGGTGGTTAAGCGCTTGCGTTTCGAGGTGAGCGCAGATGAGATTTACCACTTTCACGTTTGCAAGTTTCCCGTTTGGCTTTGGCGATGGTGATGCGGTTGTCTTCGTAGATCACTGCACCTGTCTACACTGACCTCCGCCAGGTCGGCTGGTCTCGAGCGAGGTCGTCGCAGTTGGCCGGGTTCATCTGCAGACGCCTCAGGTAGGTCTTCAGAGTGTCCTTATTCTGATGGAATTGAACTGCTCGTCGACGGGAACCCGTGGCGATATCTCCATTGGAAAGCCGTTTGGGTAGTCGTTTGTCGTCCATCTGCACGAGGTAGCCGCTGCAGCACAATTGCAATTGTCTGATCATGGCGTGGATGCTGAGGATTTCCGTCCGCTCCAGTACATCCGTGGGAGGGCTCCGGTCCTGTCACCTCAGAATCAACATCCATCGAAGACAGCTGAGGTGGAAATGATTGAGTTTCCGCGCCTGCTTCTTGTACACTGTCCAGGTCTCCGCTCCAGACAGCAGAGTCGGCAGAAGGACTGCTTTGTACATCTCCAGTTTGGTGCTGATGTGGAGACCGCGTCGATTCCGGCCGGTACTTTGCAGACGACCGAAGGCTTGGCTGGCCTAGGAAATCCGGTGGGCCACTTTATCGTCGATTTTGGTGTTGCGAGAAGGCTGTTGCTCTGATAGGTGATATTGTCCACGGCTTGCAATTGAGTTCCGTTTGCGTTCATGTGGAGTGCGACGTAGGCAGCATTGGGTGGCATTTGATGCATATCCACCAATTTCTCCATGTTGGTGATTAGGCTGAAGTTGTCAATGGCGGTGACGAAAAGGTCCATGCTCCTTTGCATGTCCACTTCGTAGGTGGCGTTGAGAGTGCAGTCGTCGGCGCAGAGGAGCTCATGGACGAAAGTTGCGGATGCACTCGACTGAAAGTGCATCCGCCGCTGATTGAGGAGGTGGCCGTCCGTCCTGTAGGCGACGCGGATCCCGGGGCGTTCGTCACGATAGGCGTCCATGAGCTTGGCAGAGAACATGAGACTGAAGAGTGTACGTTCGAGGACGCAGGCCTGATTCACTCCGGTGGTCATTGCAAATGCCTCTGATACGATTCCATTGCCCGTGACAGGCGCCATCATGCCATCGTACAGCTGAAACACCATCTGGGTGAATTGCTTGAGACAACCAAATCTCTGCATGAGTTTCCACAGTCCTTTGAGATTCACTGTATCAGATGCTCTTGTCAGATTCACGACGGTACAATAGAGGTGAGTCCGTACCTCCTGACAGTTTGCCTGCAGTTAACGAGCGGTGAAGACAATGTCCGTGGTCCCACGATGACGACGGAAGCCGCAGTGGCTTTCCGGCAGGAGTCCCTGTTTCAATTGGCTGTTGAGGCGGTAAAGGAGAGCGCGAGCGAAGATCTTCCCGGCGATGATTAGAGGCGAGATTCCTCTGTGCTAGTTGCAGAGTTGCCAGTTCCGTTTCCGCTTGTAGAGGTGGAAGACTGTGGCGTCCTTGAAAGCCAGCGGGACTTTCCCTTGACGTCACATCTCACGGAAGTGTCGTCGGATGATTCATGAGTTGGGGGCCCCGTGCGTGTAGATCTCAGCAGGGATCGCGTCCGATCCGAACGCTTTTCCGCTGGAGACTTACTGCACAGCTCTGATGGTCTCGTAGAGAGAGAGAGAGGGCGCGAGGTCAAGGTCGGCGTTGGTCTCCACTTGAGGATGACGGGCGATAGCGGCGTCTAAGATGGTGGAGGGACGGTTGAGGACGTCTCCGAAGTGCTCGGCCCATAGCTGGGGGATTTGCGTTCTATCGGTGAGAAGGGTGGTTCCATCGGCGCTGACGAGAGGAGCGCTGTCTTTGGCTGTGGGGCCGTAGACAGCCTTGATTGCGGCGAAGAAGCTCTTTCATCCGTTGAGGTCCACTTATCCTTAGATCTCCTCGAACTTGCGAACCGTCCTGGCCTCCTGCACCTCCCGCAACCGCTGTTGCACCTGGCAGCGGTTATGCTTTGTTGTCGTCAGTGGGGTGATTTAAGTAGGCTTTGTGCAGTCGGTTCTTCTGGTCGAGTAAGTTGCTGATGGCGCCTCGTTGTTAGCGAACAAGTTCTGGTGTTGGCGATGTGTGTGAGTGAGGACAGCCAGGGTGGTTGAATGGGCCGTGTCCTTCAGTTGACCCTATCGGTTCCCCGAGGAGGCATTCTTGCCGTCGGAGTCTGCGACAATTGGAAGGTTGGCTAGCCTTTGAGCAAGATCATTGCTGAAATGGAGATGGTGAGCAGACAACGCTTGCATGCCTTGAGGTGTTCTGTGAGGCTGTAGGCGAATCCTCATTGTGGAGATGACGAGACGATGGTCGGTCCACACGTCAGTACCCGGGATGGCCCTTGTCACCAGCATGTCCCGCCGGCCTCGCCTCCTGACGAGGACATAGTTCACCGGTTGCCACTGTCGCAACCGAGGATTAAGTAAGGGGGCCTCCTCTCGCGTCGGAAGGCAGAAGAATGTGTTGGTCAGGATGAGCCGGTGTTCTGCGCAGGTTCGTAGGAGTAACAGGCCATTGTCATTGGAGCCGTCGAGACCGTAGGGACCCAGCACTCCTCTCCAGGCAGCATGATCTGTGCCGACAGGGGTGTTGAAGTAACCAAAGACAATCAACGTATCCGCCCTCGGCACAGTCGCCAGGAGGGTGTGCAGGTCCTCGTAGAATTTGTTCCTTGCAATGCCAGAACTGGTTATCGCGGGGCAAGGAGAGCGTAGACGCTGACGATGGTGGCGAATTTGCCTCCCTGGAGAGACAGGCGTAGGCTCATCAGGCGTTCGTTGATGTCCTGCGGCAGACAGGACAGTCGTCCCACAATGTCGTTCCGGATGGAAAAGGCGACCCATGCGTCGCGTCGCTCTGCCTTGGGACGGCCACTGAAGAAGAAGGTGTACCCGGCACCCACCTCCTTCAGTTGACCTTGCTCGGGGAACCGGGTATCGCTGAGTGCGGCGATGTCCACCTTGTAGCGTGCCAGTTGCCGAGCCCCTAGCGCCACCCTTTGTTTCGGTCGGTTGCCCCTGGGATTGTCTAAAGAGTGAGTGGACTCACCCTACCGGCCTGTGGAATGGGGCGGAGGTGAGGAGGAGGAGAAGGAAGGGGGAGAGAGAATACTGTTTCTGTTTTGATGCTTTCGACCGCATGTGTAAGAGTCTGCGAGCCACGGTCTGCCCGCTGATGCTGTGAACCTGGCATTTGTTTAGGGCACCCCGTCCTCCCTCGCAGGGGTGAGCAGTGCTGTCTCTAGATAGGGCTGCTCAGATATCCCCAGCCGGCTGCCGCTCTCAACTATGGGTCACAATTTTGTTTATTGGGAGAACAAACCCAGTTAGTATGGGCCGCCTAAGAGATTGCTGTCTCTCACGCCGTTTAACTTGAAGGTGGGAGGGGGGATCAGGGAAGGGTAGAGAGACGGGAAGCAGAGCTTCCCCGTCTCTCTCTAGGCTGTTTGCTGAAATATAAACGGTGAGCAGACAAATTTAACAGAATAGCATTTTACTTATACTAAGGACGGATATGAACAAGCAGAAAAAAGCAAGCAAGCAAGAAAGAACAAGCAAAGGCTTCGGAGGAAGTACAACAGAACGGCATTTAGCTTACAGCAAGGACAAACACAAACCAGCAGACAAATAGAAATCCAGCAGAGCAGTGTTCGCTAACCTGGGCGTTTACTTACCTCGTGGCCTCCTACGGTGTTGCAGACGGAGCCTCATCTCGGCCATGCCGAGGCGGTGATCCATCCGGCCAGCGGAACCGAGTTATTATGTGCGGAGGTGCACGCACGGATACCCTCACCTGGTTTAGCTTGCCGGTCAAATCGATTACCGGGGTGTGGCTCCTAGACAGAGCCTAGATTCGGGGAGCCACTTTTTAGAGTTGGGTGCCGGTTACTGGACTCTAGGCGTGGTCTACATGTGCAGGTAAGTGAGCTAGCCACTACGACCGTCACGTGGACCCACAATCACAATCTTCTTGTATTTGGCTCGTAATTCAAACTAAATTTCGCCTGAGGTAGGTTTCTGTTGGAAGTGCAAGGAAAACTATTTAGACGCAGGTGAAGCCGTATACAGAGCACTTTACGTATTTGGTCCTTTCAGCAAGTGCGAAGTATTCATGACGTAGGCTATGAAAACGCAAAGTATTAGGGATGGGGAGTTCGAACACCTCTTAAACCGTAAGCTTTCTGCCAATACTTAACTAAATTGCACTAATAGACTGTTGCTATTTACAAAAATCAGAGACTATATCAAGATGATATCGAGGTCGGGCGTGTTGGACATGATGGCGCGACAAGATCCGTAAAGTTATTTCCCCATACCTACGGACTCACTTGACAACAACGGCGCAGCAAAGTGAAAAAAGACGAGGTCCACGAGTTGCTCACTCCACTTTGCGCATTTCTCGATAGATATCGAACTGATGGTCACCGACGCCGGTGAACAGTTCCTCGTCCTAGCCGAGGTCCATAAACAGCAAAGCAGCCGCGTAGGTGAGAAATCGACTTTGTTTGTAAGGGGGCCCAATGGCGGTTGATATTTAACACCCAGCAACTTCGAGACGGGTGC